ACACAGTTGATGAAACAGCATGGGTTTGAACTGCGCAGTTCCATTTTTGTGTGTGTGTTTTTCAATAAATACTGGAAATGTATTTTATTTTCCTTATGATATTCTTAATAACATTTTCTTTTCTCTAGCTTATTTATTATAAGATTATATATATAATACACAGAAAACAAAATATGTTAATCAACTGTTTATGTTATTGGTAAGGCTTCCGGTCAACATTAAATTTGGGGGAGTCAAGAATTACACCTGGATTTCTGACTGCACAGGGTGTCAGCACCTCTAACCCTTGCATTGTTCAAGGGTCAACTGTAAATATATATATTAAAAGCATGTATATATGGTTACAAACAATTTACTGAAAATGTGTAGAGGAAAAGACAGACTGGAAAGAAATATACCAAAAAGGAACCAATGGCTGTTTTAAAGTGCTAGGACTTTTTAAAAATGTTTTCATATTTTCTAGGTGTTCTAAAATGTCTGGGTGTGCCCTAGCCGGTTTGGCTCAGTGAATAGAGCGTCGGCCTGCGAACTGAACGGTCCCAGGCTCGATTCTGGTCAAGGGCACAAGGCCCGGGTTGTGGGCTCAATCCCAGTGAGGGGCTTGCAGGAGGCAGCTGATCAATGATTCTCTCTCATCATGGATGTTTCTATCTCTCTCTCCCTCTTCCTTCCTCTCTGAAATCAATAAAAATAAAAAATAAATAAAATTTCTGGGTGCTATTTTAAAAGGAGAAAAATCAGCTTTTTTTTTAAAAAAAAGACAAAATCAACATCTTCTCTGGGTGGAACTGGACACTTCTTCTTGCTGCCATCGTTGACTCTGGTCATAGCCATGTTTTAACACATCACTCTAATGCACCAGACTTGCCATCTGAGGCATGCTTTCTCCCATTCATTTTATTTCCTTAGCATCCAGCCCTCAAATGGTAACCACTCAGTGTTTACTGAATAGAATCAATATTTATGAAAATGCAAGATACAAAGACAAATGAGCAGTGTTAAAGCACAATTTAGGATTAAATGCCAAATAAGGGGCACAGAAATTGAGAAGGGAGTGAGCCCTGGGGGTTTAGGGAGCAGGAGGGTCAAGGTCCAGGAGAAGAGAGGATGTGTTAAGTTAGGTTTTGATTCATTCATGCATTGATGAAATGGCTAGTAGTGTTTGGTATGAATACAGGTATGGAGGCTGGGATGCATAAGCATTTTTTAAAAATTTTTATACATAACATAAAATTTACAATTTTAACCATTTTAAGTGTACAGTTTAGTAGCCTTAAGCACATTCATATATGTTATGTAACCATCACCACTATTGATCTCCAGAACTTTTTCATTATCCCAAACTGAAACTCTGTACCCATTAAGCAATAACTCCCCATTCTCCCTAGAATTTGGGTAACCACTATCCTACTATCCTACTTTCTGTCTATAATATAGACTCTATATGAATTTGACTATTCTAATACCTCATATAAGTGGAATCATATAATATTTGTCCTTTTGTGTTTGGCTCATTTCACTTAATTTAATGTCTTCAGGGTTGTGTAAGAAATCTTTGAGAGATTGATTTCATGAAACAGAGGATTCAACTAGGGAAGAGAATGGAGATCAAACTGGGAAGATACTGCCTTAGTCAGTTTGGCTCAGTGGACAGAGCATTGGCCTGCAGACTGAGGGGTCCCAGGTTCAATTCCAGTCAAAGGCATGTACCTCAGTTGCAGGCTCAATCCCAGCCCTGGTCGTGGCATATGTGGGGGTAACCAATCAGTGTGTCTCTCTCTTTCTGTCTCGCCCCCTCCTTCCCACACTCTCTAAAAATCAATGGAAAAAATATCCTTGGGTGAGGATTAACAACAACAAAGAAACTGGAAAGGTACTTTGTGGCCAGATGGTGTAATGCCTTTAATACAAACCTAGGTAACTGCTATAATGAGACCAGATGATTGTGGGAGTTGGAACTGTTACATTCTTTTGAAGCATTATGGTAATATCCTGTAAAATTAAACATGGGTACAGCCCTAGCCGGTTTGGCTCAGTGGATAGAATGTCGGCCTGCAGACTGAAGGGTTCTGGGTTTGATTTCGGTCAACGGCATATGCCCGGGTTGCGGGCTCGAACCTCAGTAGGGGGCATGCAGGAAGCAGCTGATCAGTGATGTTTCTATCTCTCTTTCCGTCCCTTCCTCTCTGAAATTAATAAAAATATATTAAAGAGGAAAAACAAAACAAAACATGGGTACATCCTCTCCTAATGAATTACAAATACAACCTAATACATAATGATACATATATATAAGAATGCTCATGCAACATTGTTTATAATGGCAAAAATAACATTATTGTGTCCAGCCTGAGTTGCTCAGTGATTGCATGTCAACCCAATGAAAAGGAAGTCATGGTTAGA